GAATGTCTTTCAGAATTTGAGTCAATCCTCTGAAGCCCTGCCTCTGCTTTATTAACTAAGTTTAGATAATATTCTGAATCTTGTTATCATTTCAACAGTCTTCACAGCATCTTTACTAGAAGTAGGTTCCATCTCAAGATTTCCTTCTTCTTCCATAAGAAGCAACTCCTCATGCATTCAAGTTTTATTGTGACATTGCAGCAATTCAGTCACGTCTTGAGGCTCGACTTCTAATTCTAGTTCTCTTCCTGTGTCCAACATCTGCAGTTACTTCCTCTACTGAAGTTGTGAATCTCTCAAAGTCATCTGTGAGAGCTGGTATCAACTTTTTCCAAACTCCAGTTAATGTTGATAGTTTGCCCTCTTCCCATGAATCATAAATGTTCTTAATGACATCTAGAATGGTGAATCCTTACCAGAAGGTTTTCAATTGGATTTTGCTCAGATCCATCAGGGAAATAATAATCTATGGCAGCTATAGATTTACAAAGTGTCATTGTTAAATGATAAGACTTGAAAGTTGAAATGACTCCTTGATTCATGGTCCACAGAATGGATGTTGTGTTAGCAGGCACGAAAACAACATCCATCTCTTTGTACATCTCTGTCAGAGCTCTTGGGTGACTGATGCATTGTCAATGAGTAGTCATATTTTGAAAGGAGTCTATTTTCTGAGCATTAGGTCTCGAGAGTGGGCTTAGAATATTCAGTAAACCATGTTGTAAACAAATGTGCTGTCATCCAGGCTTTGTTCTTCCATTTATAGAGCACAGGCAGAGGTTTAGCACAGTTCTTAAGGGTTCTAAGATTTTCAGAATTATCAATGAGCCTTGGCTTCAGCTTGAAGTCACCAGCTGTATTAATCCCTAACAGAGAATGAGCTGTCCTTTGAGGCTTTGAAGCCAGGCATTGACTTCTTCTCTCTAGCTATGAAAGTCCTAGATGGCATCTTCTTACAATAGAAGACTGTTTCATGTACATTGCAAATCTGTTGGGTGTAGCCACCTCCACGAATGATCTGAACTATATCTTCTGGATAACTTGCTGCAGCTTCTCTATCAGCACTTGGTGCTTCACCATGCACTTTGGTGTTATGGAGGTGGCTTCTTTCCTTAGACCTCATGAACTGACCTCTGCTGGCTTCACACTTTTCTTCCGCAGCCTTCTCAGTTCTCCCAGCCTTTACAGAATTGAAGAGAGTTAGGGTCTTGCTCTGAATAAGGCTTTGGCCTAAGGGAATGTTGTGGCTGGTTTGATCTTCTCTCCAGACCACTCGTACTTTCTCCTTCTCAGCAATAAGGCTGTTTTGCTTCCCTATCATTTGTGTGTTCTCTGTAGGAGTGCTTCTAATTTCTGTCAAGAACTTCTCCTTTGCATTCACCACTTAATTAACTGTTTGGCACAGGAGGCCTAGCATAAATTCAGCCTGCCTTGGCTTTTGACATGCCTTCCTCACTAGGCTTAATCATGTCTAACTTTTGATTTAACGTGAAAGATGTGCAACTCTGCCTTTCATTGTAGAGGCCATTGCAGGGTTATTAATTGGCTTAATTTCAGTATTGTGTCTCAGGGAATAGGGAGGCCTGAGGAGAGGGAGAGAGATAGGGGACACATACAGCATTTGGCAATTGAGTTCACCATCTTATATGGGTGCAGTTTGTGGCACCGCATAACAATTAGAATAGTAACATCAAAGATCACTGATCACAGATCACCCTAACAAATACAATAATTTGTTGTAATATTGCAACAGTTAACCGAAATGTGACGCAGAGACACAAAGTGAGCAAATGCTATTGGAAAAATGGCTCTGATAGACTTGTTCTCTGCAGGGTTGCCATAATCCTGCAGTTTGTAAAAAACACAGTTTCTGGGAAGTGCAGTAAAGTGAAGCTCAATAAAACGAGGTATGCCTATAGAGGATTGGAAATGTAAGTAATTACATATATGTTAAAATGGTTTTTTAAAAGAATATTTAGGAACATGGAAAAATATGTACAGGACATTTAAAAAGTGGATAGTAAATGGTACATATATGATGCAAGGTTAAAAATATGCATAGAAAAGGAACTACATGGAAATATAGAAAAACAGCAGGCATCTGAGTGCCAAATTAAGGTTACTTTTTCTTACTTTTTATTTTTCCTTATTGCTTTTGTAATTAGGAAGATAGTCACTAATAAATGAACTCTATTTTAAAAATTAGATATTTGTTGTATATCAAAATTTTTAAATTGTAACATTCATTATTGGTGAGGATGTAGTGAAAGAAGCAGTGTAAGTAACTGTTATGAGTGTAAACTGGCTGTACGCAGAAGAAAAATACTGTTTTAGAAAGAATTATAAATTGGTTGCAGATTATCTGCCATTATGTGAGAACAATGAATTCTAGTAAATTGTATACTTCATGATATATTAACTGAAACATTTTACTGTTACTTAGACTATCACAAAGTTTGTGTAAGTGTGACTTTCTTTAGGAAATAGTACCAAGTGGTTTAAGTGGTGGTCAGAAACCAACAGGAACCAGAGAAAAGAACCAAGAATATAGCTCATGTCCAAAGAATCAGAACTCTCTAGAATCCTATTCAATTTTCTGTTATTTATCCTACAGTTACTGTTACATTTTGTATTCCATCTTCTAGCCTTTTAAGCCATTTACTTTCTTGAGGGAGAGGGTGGGGTGTAGTGTGCCGGAGTATTGGAGCAGCTGACTTTATTTCCTCACCATTGACACTATGAACTGAATCTTGAGTTATAACCTGGGGCAGTCTTCACCTATTCAGTGAAAGACCACTTTCTACTTTATCTCTAACAAAAAAAAGCCTTTGCTTGAATACTTCAGTACCACAAGATCACATTTTAGCAGGTCTGTTATTTCTAGAATGGCAATGTCAAATATTTTTATATACTTTTTTTTTTTTACCATTTCATTGAGTTCATTCTGTATTCTTGGCTTGTTAAAACTGTCTTTTGATACATTTTGACTTTGAACTATGTTTTTCTTAATAGTATGTATATTATATAATAAACAATGAAATTATGAATTTTAATCTTATCTATGTCCAATAGTGTTTTTCATATAGCTCAGTATGTTCCATAGGAAAAATGAGGACCAGTTTTCTCTTACATGATTAAGTATAATTTTCTCTTTATAACCAGTAGTAAGGGGAGAAATGGCTTAATTTTTATTTTTTTAGTTTTTTTTCTGTAATTTTAAAATAAATTAATTTGAAGTCCCAATAAATAAGTGGGAATATACATTTATAAATGTATAAAAGAGAGAAAAAATGAGTTTTTAATTAAAACCATTAAAACTTACCAGCAATCAAAGTAAATTAATATTTCATGACAGTTTTTTTCACTGATTAATTGGGAGTTACTATGCCCAGTATTGGTGAATAAACCTCAAGTGTTAAATGAGTACATTCCAATATTATTGGTGGTAGAAACTATTTAAAAGGACTCTAATAAATGAGCTTCAAAACTGTTTATGGTCTTTAGACTTATAATTCCACTTCAGGGGTCCCATTTTAGCTAAATAATCCTTAATTTCCATAAAGCTGTATTTATAATGAGGTTTGTGATAGTGTTATGTCATTTATTTATTTTATTTTATTTTTTCAGATACAGTGTTATCTAAATAAACCAAATAAAATATCTTGAACATAGGTTCTATGAACTTCATTAACTTGCATGCAGAATTCTTCCTGTACATAATTTTTTTTTTTCTGGAAGATTCTGGCCTTTAGCTTTATGGGATCATTAAAAGGGTCCTTGATCTTCAGAACAGTAAGGACTGTTGTTTTTAATCATTGATGCTGAATCATCTATGCCAAAGATGTCCTCAAAATGGATGTGGACCAGAAGGAAAAACTGTTAACTGTTTTTAGGTAGTAGGAATATGGGTACTTTTATTCTTTCTGCTTTTCTATATTTTTCAGATATTTTATAATGTGTGTGCACTACTTTTATGATGTTAATAAATAATACAAAAAAATCTGTGAACATGATGAGCTTATGCTATGGAACCAAACAACTCTCAGATAAACCTCTGTAAAAAAGTGAGAAGTATTGGGAAGAATATGCAATAGTCATAAAATAGTCAACCTTTTTATTTAATCCTGATTCTTTATTTACTAATGTTTCTTTCCTCATATTATGCCATCACCAGGCCCATGAGCCCATGTAGTGAAAGGAGCTCAGGCTCCAGAGCAATTCAAACCTAGGTTCTGATCTGCAGTACACCACTGTTTTGTGTAGCTTGGGCACATTAACTTCTCTGAGCCTCAGTTTCTTCATGGAGATTATAATGCTCAATTTTGCAGACTATTGTGGGGATTAAATGAGATGGTAGATGTAAAGTGCCTAATGGTTCCAGGAGTTATAAAATAGTAACTCAACTATGATTGTTAGTGTTCTGTGCATTTGTAACAAGAAATAGTAAAGGTAATGATTGGGAATATTAGAGACTATAGAAATGAAGAATGCTTCCTATTTGCTTATCCTTTTCAAGTAGCTGCGTTGCTGTCAAGTGACAAGGTTTGCCATAGGGGCAGAATTTAGAAGGTTTTCCTCATGCATTTATACTGTGCCTCATTTTTAACATTTCTTTTTTTCTCATTATATCCTTTTTGTAAAATTCTTGTTCTTTATCCTTGTCATGCATATTTCTATAGTCTTGTGGAAATGAAGACACTTTGCCTAAAGTGTTTGTCTAGATAGCATCACACTTCTTTGTTAGGAAAACAGAACTTAGTTGTGTGATGTTTCCTATTGAAGATTTGTGTCTCATGATTATATTGCATCAATTAATTAAGATTAAGTTTTGAGGTTTCAAAAAATAATTCAGTCCTAGTGAAATCTATCATATACCTTAAAGTAATTATTATGTTGTTTATGCCTTCTGATTTCATTTCATTCTTTACATCAAAAGATAAATATGGTTCTTTTGTAGTCACAAATAATAACCTTTGGACATTTATATAAATATTTTCCAGAAACTAATGGAGCGAATTCAGAATCCTGAGTATTCAACAACTATGGATGTTGCACCTGTCATTTTAGCTGCTCATCGTAACAACTATGAAATACTTACAATGCTGTTAAAACAGGATGTATCTCTACCCAAGCCTCATGCAGTTGGCTGTGAATGCACACTGTGTTCTGCAAAAAACAAAAAGGACAGTCTCCGACATTCCAGGTTAGATAATTAAGATTTTGATAAACAGACATGTGATGCAAAAAGGTATATGTCAGTGAAGCTTTTTTTGTTTTTCTTTCTATGTAGCTTTCAAGAAATATGGTACTGAGATGTCTTATAAAAGCCAAACTGCTAGCTCCTTTGCTTAATATGAGTTCTCTACTTTTTAGAAATGTTTACTAAATGAGGAATAATTAGGAAATTTCTTTGAATTATGAGTAAGTTTTATCTCATATTCCTGCTGGTGGGGGATGGGAACCCTCTGTTTTTTAGAAAGAGTTTATTAATCTAATAGAATTTCCAAGTAGTGGAAAGGGTAGAAAAAATATTTCCTATCTTATTTATAAGGAAACAAAGATTATTTTCTACCTAACTAAATATTCAATCTGTTTTGTCCCTTCCCCTTTCATACAATATTTTAGTCTTTTCTGTTTCCGTTCGCCCCATTAAAAAATACTAAGAACAACTGAGGAGTGAATGAACAAGATAGTATACCATCTCAGACAGTTTGTGCAAGATCATACGCATGGGCATGTTGTATGTACGGTATATGGTTCTGGGCTAGACTTGAGAATCCAATTTTCAGCATAAGCCTTTATATAGAGACACATACATACACACACATGCACACAATACAATCTATATAGTAATCAAATATAGTTGAAATAATATCAAGTGTAACATTGTGGAAGATGCTGTCTGGAAGTCCTGGGCAGCCTGCTGACAAGCTGTTATTTTATTTTATTTTTTTTAAGTTTTGTTTTCTATTAAATTATCATTGATATACAATCTTATGAAGGTTTCACATGAGCAACATGGTGGTTACTACATTTACCCATATTATCCAGTCCCCACACACACCGCATTGCAGTCACTGTCCATCAGCATAGTAAGATGCTATAGAGTCACTATTTGCTGACAAGCTGTTTTTATAGTATATGAAACTAGCTTTAAAGCTACAAACCATCTACCATCACTTCTTCCTCACCATAAGGACAAATCTTTGGTAGACTGACAGTCACAAATCCATAAATTGGGAGAGTCTCCTGGGAGGCAATGTAATGTTTATTTGCAGAAGTTGAACTGATAATTTTGTATTTTCAAGTCTATTTTACAATGAAATCTATGTTTCTCTTTGATAAATCTGGTTGAAAGTTGTGGTTATATCATTTACAGTTTAGTTTTTAAATGACTAGTCTGTAAAATGACAAGAAGAAATGATCTATAAGATTTATTCTAGTTTTAGATAAGTAGTGACTGTAGCATCTTACTACGCTGATGGAAAGTGACTATAATGGGGTATGTGGTGGGGACTTGATAATGGGGGGAATCTAGTAAACATAATGTTGGTCATGTGATTGTATATTAATGATAGCAAAAAAATTCACTCTTAAAAAAAAGATTTCTTCTAGTTTTAAAGTCCTTTATTGATATTAAATATAAATATTTTCCAAATAGCATGCTTGTTAAATATGTATGTAATTAAAGCAGTTGGGCGGTGGGGGGTTGGGGCTGGAGAGAACACTTAACTTGGCTTGGTTTGAGTGGGGAAAAGGTTGTTCTGGAAGCATTTAGGAGCTTTGGCTTGAGTTCAGTCTTTAAGTAAAGAGTAAGAATTAAAAGGTGATAGGGTTTTACACGGAAAGTACAGTATGTGATTGTGGTTTATTTAGGCAGCTGCAAATAGTATAACATACTTGCAGGAGGTTGAGAGGGTTTATTATTGATGTTTGAGAAAACAACTATAGCAAATGTCAAAGGGCCCTGACAAAAGTCATTTCTAAGAATTCCTAAGTAGACCTGCAGAAGAAAAGGAGACTAACAAAATGAGTAAAAAGGGATATGAATAAAGATTTCAGTGAAGTTGAAGAGCCAGTGTACTGGTAATAAGGCAGTGATGAAATCTACATTTATAAGTTATTAGTTTTAAATGTCAGAGATGGTGCAGTTCCAGGTGATGATAAGGTCTAGGGGTAATCATCTTAAACGGGATAGAGACGGTTAATGGACCTTTATAACTTAGAAAAACATTTTCAGTAATGCAGTTGTTGTGATTTGGTCCTACTGTCTCCTGATCAATCTAAAGGTTAATTGGGGAATGCATTCAGAGTTGCAGCCATTTCTCAAAAGTTCCTTGTGTTTTTCTTTTAATCAAACTTTCCGATAGCTCTGAGTTCTAGGACTTCTAAAAAAATGTCTCTTTACTAAACTTTCTGATGTTCTCCACACACACCTAATTTTTTAGTCAGTGAGGGATCTGTGGAAAGAGCTTATATGAGCCTTCCTATGGCTTTTCGCACTTCCAAGATCTCTCTATTAAATTTCTGGTTGGTCCACTATTTGCTCAGCTCAGACTGCGTGTTCGGCCTTTACAAAGCTGCAGGTTTTGCCTGTTTGTCTCCACCAAGTCCAGCCCTTTCAGCCAGCAGAGTCATTGTTTTTGTCTACCACAAAATTGATTTTTTTTCCCCTTTGGGCATATGGTACAGGTTTACCAGCTTCTGGCTGAAAAATTTATTTCTCATTGGGCCAGTTCTGTGGGGGCAGAGGTGGTTAAAGTAGCCTCAGGCAAGAAGGGTACAGATTCCAGCTGTTCTTGCCTGAAGCCCTGGCAGCTTTTCAATAATTGATTCTCAATAGATAATTTCTGGTGACCTGAAATGGTTGATTTTTTAAAATAATTTTGTCTATTTTTATGTATTTTTTATGTAGTGGAATCACTGATCTCTCCATGTCACTTACTTCTGATAGTGTTTTAAATACCAAAAATCGTAGATTTTATAAAGTGAGCAACCTCATTATTTGTCAGATTAAGTCTAAATGTTTTCCATACAGTGGTACTTCATTATTACTCCAGCACAATTGGTTGCCATTATTATTGGCAGTCACCCTTGCTGTACATTTTGTCATTAATCGTTAGTGTATTTTGAGATATGATACAAAGTCATTTTTAAACAATCTGATAAAATTAATATAGACATTGAAGAAAACAAAGATAAGTTGCTTAACTATATACATAAATTTTCTCAAGTTTTTTGGCAGTTTTAGTGTAAGTAAATACTTGTTAGAAATCCTTACAGATAATTGTACTTGTTTACTGAATAGCTAGATTGTAACTAGATTTCATAAATACTATTTTCTTAAAAATACAATACAGGATCTATTTTTGTATCTAAGACATGAAACATAGGTAAATAAGGCTATTTCCATAAATTTGTTTAGATTTCAATATAGAAAAATTCTATTTCAAACAAAGTAAAAAGACAAACTGAAAAAGTATTTAAAACACTTTTGACTAGCAGAAGGCTAATTTCTTTGATATGTTAAGAGATCTTACAAATTCATAAATTAAAAATAAAGATAAAGTGAACTCTTGTAACACTGTTGGTGGGGTTGCAAATTGGTGCAGCCGCTATGGAAAGCAGTATGGAGGTTTCTCAAAAAACTGAAAATAGAACTGCCATATGACTGAGCAATTATACTTCTGGGAATTTATCTAAAGAAAACAAAATCACTAATCTGAAAGGATACATGCATTCCTATGTTTATCACAGCATTATCTGCAATAGCCAAAATATGGAAACAATATAAATGTCCATTGAAAGATGAATGGGTAAAAAAGGTGGTACATACAATGGGCTATTAGCCATAAAAAAGAGTGAAATCTTGCCATTTGTGATAATATGGATGGACCTAGAGGGTATTATGCTAAGTGAAATGTCAGACAGAAAAAAACAGGCATCATATAACTTCACTTATCTATGGATTCTAAGAAAAAAAAAAAACAAATGAACAAACAAAACTGAAATAGACTCAAACACAGAGAACAGACTGGTAGTTGCCATAGCGGAGGGAGGAGTGCGGATGGGTGAAATATTTAATGGTGGAGAGAAAAAAGTAGAGAGAATGTTTGATATCTCAACCTGGGTGATGGTTACATGAGTGTATACACATGTTAAAAGTCATCAAGCTGTACACTAAGATTTGTGCATTTTTATTGTATGTACCCTAATAAAATTTTTTAAGACTTAAGTAAAAGAGAAAAAAGACTTAGAAAAAAATAAACAATTATAGGAAAAATAGACTAATGGAAATGAACAGGCTGTTTACAGAGGTATAATGGTAGTAAATATGAAGGGATGCTTAAGCTTCTAAAGAAATTCACAGTATAACTCTAAAATTCCATTTTTCATCCATTAGAGTGGCACAGTATTAATGAAGATGTGGGGGAAAATGAGCTCTCCTATTGTTAGTGCTTTGGAAACATCTATCAGAGTTTAAAATACACATGCCATTTTATCTGGCAGTTTTAACTGTGCAAAGGATCTGTGAACTAAAGAATATTTATTGCTGCATTATTTTTAGAAGTAAAAAACTAGAAGCAATCTCAGTTTCCATTGCTGTAGATCTGAGAGACTACCATCAAATGGATAACTATCCAGTTTTAGGTAATAATGAGATGACTGTAGTGACCTAGAAAGAGTTGTATCTTTACATATATGTCTGATTATATTTGTGTGTGAATGGAAAATATTGGGAAGGATATTCACAGTTCTCTGAAGTGTGACTATCTTTGAGGAGTAGAATGGTAGAAGGAGAATTGGAAAGTGTCATGATTCTAAACTGCTTGCTTTTTTTTATAACAAGCATGTATTAAATTTATATTTTGAAGAAAAATATATGTTATATAATACTAATCAAATTGATAACTTAAGAATTATATATTTATAAATGAAAGAATTATAGCAAAACTTTTCTGGTTTGTTTCTTATTTAGATACTAAATATGAACATTAATTAGTTTACAGAAGGTAAAGGGAGTACTTTTCCATTAAGCTAGAAATTATACATAAATGAGTAATTTCATTCTTAAGATTTGGAACATGTTTCAAAAAAGAACATGGCTATATGAGTCATGTGTTATAGATATTGAGCATATTAAAGTATTCTTCTCACTGGGAAAGGAAAAATAGAATAATCATCCACATCATATTCAAAATGCATTAGTTATTAGCATATTTCATTTAAAACAATATTGGTTTCAGGAATAGAGTTATTCAAAATTAATTGGATTTGAAGAGTATGAAGTTTTGCATCTATGAAAATAAATGCTAAAACAATTTCCTTAAAAACAATAAATATAATCAATAGGTATAATATTTTCAATGTTTATACATCAAAATATTTTTAAGTATATATTAGAATTGTTTTGGTTTCCTTTAATTTTATACTACTTTAATTTTAAATTTATGAAAATTATAGGTTAAAAATACTAATCATGGGTATATATTAAGTTTATTTTACATTATGGAATCAAATTTTATCACAGGTTTCGTCTTGATATCTATCGCTGTTTGGCCAGTCCAGCTCTAATAATGTTAACAGAAGAGGATCCAATTCTGAGAGCATTTGAACTTAGTGCTGATTTGAAAGAACTAAGTCTTGTGGAGGTGGAATTCAGGTGGGAATGAATGGAAATTGTACATTATATAATGTCTTTTTTTTCCCAAAATCATTTCAGCCTGAGTTTTTTCATAGGTTAAATTATAATTTATATTTATTTACATTTGATCCAAGATGACCAGACCTTGCTGCCACTACTTGGATTTTCCTTCTCGTCAGTGGAATAGGCCCTGGTGCTCCTTAGGCCGCTCCTCTCTTTCTGCCTTCTACCGCTCTTGTACCGCCCTTAAATCCTCACTTTGTTAATACCAAAGGCATTCTAGGGCAGTGTGAAGAGTAATGGAAGTTGTAGCCTTAAGCAAGAGCAAACTTCTTTATAACTACTCTCATTGTCCTACCTCCCCTTATTCCCAGATTCCAAAATCATCCTTGGAGTCTGATCCTTCATAACTTTTAGAGTCATGTATCCCTGACATACATGCTTTCTGTATGTCAGGGATATTCCACACACACACAGACATAATCCATTCTCACTGTTTGGCAAGATTTTCTATTAGAGAAACGTAACAGACATTAAAATGTTACTGATTAAGAGAAACGAATACCCAGTCTGAATTTTCTCCCGAAATGCAGTCATGTGTAAGTCTGGCACTTCATGTACTCAAAAAAATCACTGTTTCCCTTAGAGAGGTAAGTTGTGGGGAGAAAAAAGGCTTTGGAAAAAGAAGCCTACTAAAAAACTGATTTAAACATTTTTTTAAAACTCTTAGAACATTACATTTAGTAGACTTGAAGAAAAGCTCTGAGACTTTCCCATATATTAAAGAATCCCTGGTACCTTCCAAAGAAGAAGGAATTGATTAAGATTTCTTTCCAGTCCCTGCTATGAGGTTTCTAGGGGAAATTATACCTACCCCCACCTTTCCACTCATGACCGCTGATGTTGAAGCCCCAAGTCTTGCATTGCACTCCTCCTTGTGACTTGACAAGATTGGAAAAAGGCTCTCCCCTACCCCAAGTCCCCCCCACAAACCCCTTTACAGTCACTGCCTGTCAGCATAGTAAGATGTTGTAGAATCACTACTTATCTTCTCTGTGTTGCAAAGCCCTCCCCTTTCCCCCACCCCCCACATTATACATACTAATCATAATACCCCCTTTCTTCTTCCCCACCCTTATCCTTCCCTACCCTCCCATTTTCCCCAGTCTCTTTCCCTTTGGTAACTGTTAGTCCATTCTTGGGTTCTGTGATTCTGCTGCTGTTTTGTTCCTTCAGTTTTTCTTTTG